TTGACTCCAGCCACTTTCTATCATTCCTCTTGAACTTAATTTTCTTCCTTGGAGCTCGAGATTTATTCATACCTCGTGTCCTTATAGTCTCTGTCAAATACTGCGCTTCGCCCATGCTTGTCGCATATTCAGACTAAGCTGACAGCATCCCGTATCTCCAACTTGTCCCCCAAGGCCCCCAACTATTGTGAATTTATTGGAAGGCGGGGAGTTAAGCTCCTCCTAGGACACAGCAATGGCTGATACCGGTGAGTGATACTCAATACTTCTTGTCAGACCCAAAATGAATTGCAGGAGAGCTTCGGCGCACTTTAAGGAGATGGCCCGCCGACCTCCGTCATCACTACCCCCTCCCCTTCATACACCCGCGTTCTCTATGCGCAAGCGGAGCTGACGGATCACAATCTTCCAGCACAACGACACCCGAATCTCCACCTCACTCCGGAGGAAAAGCGCGTCTTCTTTCAGCTTTTTCAGGCTGCTGATACCACTAACCTCGGCGTCATTACTGGTGAAATCGCCGTTCCTTTCTTTGAGAAGACTCACCTATCTCCGGATACTCTCGGCTTGGTATGTGGATATAACATGGGCCTTGGACTGCGATAATGGGACTCGTGGCTAATTATTGGTCGTATAGATATGGCAAATTGCGGATAAAGAGAACAGGGGTCTCCTGACCCCGTCTGGCTTCGGTATTGTTCTGCGATTGATTGGGCATGCCCAAGCTGGCCGCACACCCTCCGACGAGTTGGCTCTGCAAAGTGAGTGATGTTACCATCGAATAAATGGAACGCATGCTGATCCCACATCTGCTTCATAGGTGGCCCTCTGCCTCGTTTTGATGGAATTGTGGTCGATACAACGGCAAGCATCCCGGAATCGGGAACCAAAAGCCCTCCACCTGGAGCGAATGGGCCTATTCGTGTTCCTCCACTTCAGCCGGATGACGCCAACAAATTCGTCTCGCTCTTCGAGAAGTCGGACGTCAAGAATGGGATGATCTCGGGTATGTAGCTCTTCAGTGCCTAGAAAGTGCCACTGCGTCTAACATGTCTGCTATTTGATCTATAGGTGAAATTGCAAAACAGATCTTCGAACGCGCCCGGCTCCCAAATGAAGTCTTGGGTCGTATCTGGTTTTTGTCTGACACCAAGCAGCGAGGTGCCTTGGATGCCACCGAGTTTACCATTGCCATGCATCTCCTGACGTCATATAAATCTGGCGCTTTGCGCAACATTCCAGCGACCCTCCCACCTGGTCTGTACGATGCGGCGGCTCGAAGGGGATCCGCACGGGCGTCTTTTGGGTCTCGACCCAATGTACCCCCCATCCCGGCCATTCCCCAGCAATTTACCGGGCCCCAGCGAACCACAAGCCCTATGAGCCAAGCCAATCGTTTGCCTTTTGCAGGCTCTCTTTCCGCTCAGGCCACCGGGGGTGACTGGCTGATTACCCCACAAGAGAAGGCCCAGTTTGATAGCATTTTTGAGACTGTTGACACAGCCAAGTTGGGACTCATTACTGGAGACCAAGCTGTCGCTTTCTTCATGAAGGCCCAGCTCCCTGAAGAAACGCTTGCTCAAATTTGGGACCTTGCGGATATCGATGCAGACGGCCAACTGAGCCGTGAAGAATTTGCTGTGGCTATGTACTTGGTGAGAATGCAGCGTAGCGGCAAGGAGCCGTTGCCACAAGTGGTCCCGCCCGCGCTCATCCCGCCCAACATGCGCCGCCAAGTCCCTGCACCGATGGCTGCCCCCACTCCTCCCCCGGCGCCCGCCCCTGCTGTGCGGACAGCTGCTGATGATTTGTTCGGCCTCGACACGCCCGCGCTGCCATTCGCCCAGCCTCAGATGCCCCAGTCGACCGGAGGCTCCAACAGTGCTTTCCAAACCCCAGGCTCGCCTTCATCTAGAACATCCCCTCAGACGGCATCGCACACCTTCAAGCCTTTTATTCCAACTTCTACCTTTGGCCAGAGCTTGCAGCCACAGATAACTGGTGCATCAGCTGGAACCCCGACAGGATTTCGCTCACCCCCACCGCCATCGGATGATCTCCTTGGTGACAATGATCCCGAAGAATCAAACAAGTTGACTAATGAGACCACTGAGCTCGCGAACTTGTCCAACCAAATCGGCTCTCTGGCCAAGGAAATGCACACTGTGCAGGAGAAGAGGACCTTTGCTGAACAAAATATCACACAAACTTCGCAGCAGAAGCGTGACTTTGAGGCACGTCTTGCACAAGCACGGTCAATGTACGAGCAAGAAGTTACCAATTTCAAGGCACTTGAGGAGCGTCTCAAGGCATCCAAGGCCGAGACGCAGAAACTGCAGCAGCAATATGCATTGTTGGACGGCAGCCGCCAGGATCTGCAAACCCAATATACGCAAGTTTCGACAGCCTTGGCTACCGATGAGCAGGAGAATGCTAGCCTTAAGGAGAAGATCCGCCAGGCCAATGCCGAAGTTGCCCAGCTTAAGCCGGTACTCGAGAAGGCGCGATCTAGTGCACGCCAGCAGAAGGGTCTTGTTGCGATTAACAAAAAGCAATTGGCCACCGTCGAAGGCGAACGAGACAAGCTCCAGGGTGAAATTGACGACCTGGGTAGAGAGACCCCACAGTATACCGACGAGTCTGTGACACCAGCCGGCAGTGTACCCGAGGTTGCAAGCCCTGCTGTGTCTACGGCAAGCCAAAACACAAACCCGTTCTTCCGTCGAACAGGCAGCTCGAGTGAACAGGCACGGTCCCCCGATGTTTCAAATGATCAGCAAAGGGCATTTGACAGCCTCTTTGGACAGTCATTCGCAGCTGCCCCTGCTGCTGGACCCCCACCCACCTCGTTCCGCTCCGAGTCGCCACAAGTTGCAGTCACATCTCCTGTTACATCTGCTGCTACGACCCCATCGGTCTCTCCTCCTCCTGGCTCTCTGCCTGGCGCATTCCCTGTCGGGCCCTTCTCTGAGCCACCGCCTCAGAGCCAGTCCCGACAGATGACCCCAAACTTCCTGCAGTTCAATGATACTCAGTCTGTGACTTCGTCTACCATGGTCTCGCCTCCTGCTAGTCGATTTGGTGGCCCTGAACCCTCTGGATTTGATACGCTTTCTCAGGCGGCTACTAGTGACTATGGACCTCAATCGGTGGCAGAATCTAGCGACTACAGTCGCGCACCAACCTCAACTCTTGGAGGTACCCCGGCACGGTCTCCGTTTGAGGAAGAAGGACAAGAGACCTCGGCTAGGTTCCCTGAGGTCCCAGCCGCGCCTGCCCAACAGCCCGAATCTGCAACATCCCCTATCGCCAAAGAGAGCGAGGTCGAAGCCAGCAAGGACCTAAGCTTTGATGAGCTGTTTGGCAGCAAGGCACACAAACGGTCGGAATCCCAGCAAGGTAATGACTTCGAGGAAGCGTTCGCTTCTATGAAGCCTGTACCTGGAGCCGAGCGGACAAATGGAGCTGCATCGGCCGGTCCATCTGAATTCCCCCCGATCCAAGAGCTACACCATGACGATGAGGAAGATGAGAGCTCTGATGACGAGGGTGCCATGGGGTTCGATGACAATTTCACGCCTCCTGCGCCAATTGCCAAAAAGGAGACCCAGCAGGATTCCATTGACGCTGCTCAACTGGCTGCTTTCCCTGTCCCGGGAAGCTCAAACAAACCCCCGTCTCCCGGGGCACAACAGAGCCCTCCAGGGTATGAAACCCCCAAGGAAGATAACGTTCACCTGCCTCCTCAATTCGATGGCCTTTTGCCCGAGCGCATTGATCCCACCGTGGGACCGGATGCGCCTCATTCTGTGGAGCACACCACTGGGGCGCCAGTCGTAAGCAACGAGACCCAACGGGATTCTGTGTCGGATGCTGCAATCCCACCCGGTGGAGCGAAGGTGGGAGGACCGGACTTTGAGGCAGCCTTCGCAGGAATGAACCTTGCACCCGCCGTTGAAGCAGATGACGATGACGACGACGAGCCGCTGAGTCACGAAGCCAAGAACACGACCGACTTTGATTTCTCTTTCGACTCCCCGTCCCAAAAACAGCAGGCTGTCTCCGGTGCCGATGCTAGCCAAACCAGCTCCTCCCAGTTCTTCGCTTTCGACAACAACGTCCATGCATCCGCCGCCCCGCCTGTTGGATCGCCCAACGAGGGAGAGCCAAAGCCGGCTTCGCATGAATGGGACGCTCTCTTTGCGCCTCTTGGGAACTCCAAGCCCGACGCCGGCGAAGACTCGAACGGAGCGAAATCCAAGCAGCCTGGATGGGCTCTGAAAAATGACACTGGCGAAGATGACCTCATCCTTCAGCGACTGACCGGCATGGGCTTCACAAGGGATGAGTCCTTGGATGCCTTGGAGAAGTACGATTACAACCTTGATAAGGTAGGCTCTCTTCCGCATTAGGTTTAGCACTCATACTAACTGAAGACCAGGCTGCGGACCACTTGACTTCGAAAACTTGATTATGACACCCTCCCTTCTTCTCACTGCACATATCTCTTACATACTTCTTGTTTCTGCGCCTATGTCTCTCATTCCATGGAAGCCCTGGATCTGATGACCAATCTCTCAGTGGCCTCCTTTGCATCGATGTTTCCCTCCGTTTCTCCAGCGCTGTGTATATCGTTTCCTTTCATTTTCTTTCCTTATGTTGCGACCACATTGGTCTCCTATGGATCCAGCTCCTTGCCCAATGTCATTGGCTCGGAACTGAGGATTTTGGTGTGTTGTGTTTGTTGTCTTTGCCTGTGTAGTGTAGTTTACAATAATTCATAATCGAGTTAAATATTTTCATCTCTCTTGGCGTATCTACAAGCATACGTACACATCGGATTCCAGGCCAACCCAGACCTTGATGAATACACGATTCAGACAGCTCACAAAAGCAAAGTAAACAGCAAGCTCCATCTCGTAGTTGAGGTTAGTTACTTTGTACCATTCGGCTCAGAACCCACGTTAACTTCTAATGCTGTCTGTGTCCCATGAGTGTGATCATAAATCGCGCTGCTCTTTGGCTTTCAAGACCCATGTCCATAGTTTTGAATTTCCAATGAACATGTTCGCATTTGGAAAACGATTCAAATGCGGTTTAAAGCGAAACCCCCAATTAGATACCACCGTGAGATTTTGTGCCACAGTGAAATCGATGGCATTTCCAAAATAATCTTTCTCCGATCTGCGGGTCTTAGAGATAGGTTGGTCCTCCGCCTGCATCTCTTCATATAGTCTTACATAATGGGGTAATTGTCTCTGCGAGGTGATAAAAGTCTCAAGATCGTAGTCAGGATGGACTGTATTCCAGAGGGTGTGGAAAAGACGCAAATCATCGGTCGTAACAAAGGTAAGAAGTCTGATAAGACACCAGGAGAACTCGCTATCCTCGAGAATAGCGATTGCATTGGAAGAAAGAAACCGCCTTTCTTTATCACAATTTGGGCGGGAAGCCTCCTTATATCCCTCTCTAAAGACCTTGATAAGATCCTTGCTGAGTGAATCTCGGGATTGAGGGAGCCCAGGAGGAGCCAGTAGGATCGCAAGCGGGACTGAAGAACAAAATGACCAATCGATTATCGATGTGATGTTGAAATCATCGTCAACAAAAATATCGTTGACGCTTAGATCGGGGTGATGGAGAGGAAACGGATTCGGTAAAGTGTGTGTTAGGTAGCCACTTGTCCGTTGGACAATGAGATCTTGGAGAGCATCCGCGGCAAGGATGTAATCCAACCGATTCTCTGCGGAATCAAGCTTGTCCCCAATAGCCACAAAGCCGTTCCAAAGATCAGAGGCATCCCGATGTGCAGCATCATTTTCGTAGTCCTCGCGAGAAGGTATGGGAGCAATGAAACAGTGGGGCGTAAGACGTAGACACTCTGCATGCTGTGTCATGGCACCTCTGAGACTATTGTAAAACTCAGATTCTGTCGTAAAAGGTCCACGAGGAAGTTCATCTAAAGAATAACGTTCGTGGAGAATATGGCCCCGGGACATACATTCTCCTATCTCGATATTGTTGTTTTCTTCGAAAAGCGAGCCAATGCGATCGAAACGAACTTGAGCAAGTTTCCATGTAATTTGGCCTAATTGGAACATTATTTTCGCTTTGTCGGTTAGACTTAGACGGTCTACTGAGGAATTGATTGTCCAAACATTTTGCAGAGGCCATCCTTGCGCCTTGCTCATCAGGATATAGGGAACGCCAATTGGATGATTAGAGGAGGCACTGTTTGAATATTAGTGGATATATCAAAACATTTCTATTATATGATTCTACCTGTATGAGTAAACCTCTGTGATGGGAATATCCGTAGCCTGTCTGAGGTACTTTAGGGTTGCGGCCTCACTCGCAAGGAGTTTCCCGCTCAATTCACTCGGAAATTGACCGTAGCCAGATCTAGGTGACCGCATGATCCACTTAACACCATCCTCAAATTGGACAGTTACTGCCCAATCGAAACTACCACTCATCGGCTGTTGACTTGAGTCGCAAGAACAGTGTATCTCGTTCCGGGATGCAGTCGCCAAGCTGCAAAGAGCATCAATATTGAATGTGGCATAGCAGAAAATAACAGTGTCATCTGTATTCTCGCGCATAGTACGATTGTATGGTAATATTTGGAGCTTCCAATATCTCGAGCTGTTGAAAAAGAAAATGAGCGAAGATAAATGTGGGCATTGCTGTGACTCGAAATGTTTGTTTCCACATTCATGTACCTTTACACCGCCTATATTCTACATTTTGTGGTTAATCTTCTTATCCTCCTAGCTACAAGGAAGCAATATTTAGAATACATCCAAAGAGTATCTGAGAAGACTGCTCAAAAGACTGCTCAATAGACTACCGTTACTTGGGACCTTGGAACCTTGTGAGGTTGGAAAAGAAGGTTGATGGGAGTCAAGAGGCCCAATTAGGGTTGAATTCCATGTCAATTACTGAGGATGAACTAGAATTCTCAACACGATGGAATTTAACAGGTTAGGTTTCCTTCAAATATATTCTATATCGCACGCCTCAGAGGTCAAAAACACAGAATTTGCTGTAGTCGCGAGAGTCGCTGCTGGAGTTCCATTTCCAAGCACCTCATGTCCTCTCTTGTAGCAGTATCGGGGGATTGTAAGACAGGTCTATTTGATTTGGCCATCAGATCTTGCCATGGCGAGACAGTAGAGCTTTCAGCGGATAGGTATAAACCAATCGCTTGGTTCTGTCGCTCGATGAGGTAAGAGCATATCTGCACAATAGAGACGAGCTGAATATCACCCAGTACTGCCCTATCCGCCTGATTGCTTAGTTTTGCATCATGCTCGAGAATATCTAATACTGAGATATAAATATTCATGAGTGAGGAATAACAGCCGATAGAGAGATGACAGATGACGTTGTCGAATGGATTGAATTCCATCGGCGATGGTATAGTGGTCGTGAACATAGCTCCAACATTCGGGTGTAGATCTCCTAGGATTTCTAACATAAACTGCGAAGCCGAGAAGAGATAGTAAAGCATACCACCAGGCGTTTTGATATCGGGCTCCTGTGTTGGTTGACCATTTGGAGATCGTGTCGACTCGAATGAACTGAAGCCAGTAGAGCCGTGGGCAAGCCACAAGGCAACCGAATCAAAAGCAGTAGCATCTATGAGTGGCTCACTACTGACACAAACTCGTTCATGTCCAGGTTGAATTGAAGATCGTGATGGGCTCGCGAGCTCTTCGGCTAAGCGACACAATCTCGAGAGACGAATGCTGAGTTGGGAAAGTTGCCCAATGACGACATCATAATCAGATCCGCTACTGCTAGCTTCACTAATAATACTTCGCACATCAGTATATTGAGATTGTATCGCCCTGGGAGATGCGGGTGGAGGTGAAGTTAACGGTGGAAGTGGAGTTGACGGTGGATCATGATCTGCATCGATAGGCTCGTACACGCTTGGTCGGCCCTCGGGTAGGGCGAAGCTATAGATACATTGTACATGTTTGCGCTGGCAGCGTATGCATGCACCTGTATTTTCGATGCCGGTACGTGTACATCGCAGCTTCTGACTATGGCAACGGTCGCATGAGTGACGTATGGGTGTTTCCACCGTTTGGCGCGGCATGACCAATGATTGAAAATATAAGTCAAAGAGTCTCTAAAGCAGAGATCTCTTGTCTTCGAGGGTTCGCGCAATTTAGAAGTGAATGTTGGTGTAGATGTTTATGCGGGGCAATGCGAGGGGTTGTCAAATACAATTTGAATCTTGGAGCTAAGAAAACTCGGAGTATCAGAAAGGACTAGATAATTCTCTAAATATATATTTCTATACTTTGAAGATATTTCACAGATATTGAAGGTCTGCTTTAAGAGATATTGAATAATATAATGCTTGAACAGCTATTAAATGAACATCTATATCTACTGTTCCTCAGACATTAGATTGGGGGGGGGGTTATATAGTACTCGGGAAATAGTAGCCCTTGAATCACCATGCACTATCTGGCTATATGTTTGTACTAATTAAGCCATGGTAACAATATTCTCCTTTCCGTCGCTGTGGATCTTCTTCCAGGGAAGAATCAAGCTCAGTACGAAAGCAGTTCCAAACATTGCGATGGAAACAGCGAACGCGGCCTTGATACCTTGCATATACGCAAGTATGATACCCGGGATTTCTTCCGCAGGGAACACAGTTCGAAGCTCTGTGGAACCTGTAGCGTAAACGGCCAGCGGATCGACTCCAGGGGCAGTCAAGGGCAAAGTAGCGATGAGCCTGTTGACAAATGCCGATTGGGCAGCTGAGATGCTAAATGCACCCCCAAGTGTTTGGAAGACTGCGCTTATGTTAGCTTTGCATGATAGTGGGTATAACTGGCCATGGAAATTCAAGTAATATCTTACAATAAAGAATTGCAGTGACGGTGGAGATGTCTTCAGCATCGACCTTTGCGTGAGCAATATTGAGGCAGTTCTGATAGGGAAACGCGATGGCTGCTCCTGCGAGAATTTGGTATCCAATCCACTTTCCGATAGAGGTATGGGTATTCATTGAGTAGAAGAGACCGCTCGCGACTGTCGCAACGGCCGCGCCTAGAGCCATAAATGGCGTTGGACGACCAGTGATAGTGACAGCGATGCCACCAGCGAGAACGAAAATCCCGATAGCAATTACCATGGGTAGATTATCCACACCGGATTGAATGGGATCGGCTCCCTTGACACTCTGGAAGTATTGAGGGAGATAGTAAAGAAGCAAAAAAAACGAGCCAGCGAAGAAGAACTGGTAGAGCGACGCGGCCCAGAGAGCGCGCTGCTTCAGTAGTCTCGGCACTAGCATTGCGTATTCACCCTGGTAGGATTCCCAGACAACCATAGTCAAGGCAATTGCGACAAAGCCAACAAGGAGGCCTATCACCTCGCTGCTTCTCCAGGCGTACGTAGTTCCCGCGTACTGCAACGCGAGGATGAAGCAAATAATGCAGGCCATTGCAAGGACAATGCCCACTGGATCGATCTGTAAGAACTTCTCCTTCCAAGTAGCTTTCTGAATCTTGACAGCACTTGGAAGGTGGAAAAAGAACAAGATGATGACCGCGACCACACCTCCGATTGGAAGATTGATATAGAAACACCAGCGCCAGGTTACTTTGTCCGAAAAAACACCACCAAGAAGTGGACCCGCTACGGCAGCGACAGCATAGGTGATTCCAATTAGTCCCATGAGAGTCGGTCGTTTTCTCGGTTCAGCACAAAAGGCAATAATAGTAGTTCCCCCGGTCGCGATTCCAGCGCCGCCGACGCCGGAGATGGCTCGGCCAACGATTAGAGCATTGGAGTTTGGTGCGACACCACAGATGAGACTTCCAAGTTCGAATAGGAAGAGGGTCAGGAGGAAGGTTGACTTCAAGGGGAAATATTTGTATGCTTTGCCCCAGGAGGATTGGAAACCGCCAAGACACATAAAGTATGCTGATCCATACCAAGAGACCTCTGAAAGCCCATGGAATTCATCAGTGATTTTTGGAATGGCAGTGCCGACGATGGTCTATCCAATGTTAGAAACTAGTAAGTAGAGATAAGAAGTTATAAGAGTACTTACCTGGTCTAGAGCGATCAAAAAGACTGCCATCATGACCGACCCAACAAGGAGCCATAGGGTCAACCCTGTGGGATATTCATCTTTGGTAGAGGTCTCGCCTGACAAGATAGGCTCACTGTCGACTTTCTCGTTTCCACTTGTTTCAGACATTGTTAGAGAACACAAAATGTCATTTAAACACTGTGCAGGTTGATGATTGAAACTTGAGGCCCAGGGTAGGGCAATGCTTCTTTTTGTATTCAATGAGACATCAAAATCAACTCCTGACAATATGATACATGATCTAAATGATATTTTTAGGGCTTTGGGACAACTTTAAGCAGTTCGGTGTATTATTCAGCCTTAGTCAACGTTGATTGGCTCCAGGACTGTCAGTTAGGCCGATTCAGCAAAAATATCCCTGCCAAACGGGCAACATCACACTAGTCAAGCATAACTCTCGCACCAGTAACCAATCGGAGTTTGAAAGATGACTTAAATGAATTCCTCGGGATGTCGTTTCGCGTGTATCGGCGGCCCGCGACCGAGAACGAGGCGAGGAAAGCGCGACAATAGTACAGAGTAGACCTCCGCAAAGCCCATAACTATTGGCTTCAAGTTTTCACCGCTTTGATTCCCGTCGCAGTAATTTCCAACACATTATACTTCAATTATTATACATGATAGGTTTCTATATATTCATAGTGAGTTGGTCAAGCGTTGCATATATGATGACCTCTTTACTTAGGTGACGAGTTAGGGCTTGAATAATGTGAATATCAAGTTGTTTATTACAAACTTTATAATAACAATGCCACTGATGTCTTTTGATATGACTTTATATGGCAATTGATTGCAAACCGTAGAATGGGCGCAAAGCGGCTTTTTGACACATAATATCTATATGACTAGAATTACTTATTCAATTAAGTATTGTATAATAAACTGGAATCCCACGTAGATGGCCAATTCTCTACTGGCAATGAACGCCAACAGGACCAGAGTCCCTGGTCGCTGTGCACTGCGATAAGCGTCGCCCCTAAACCTAAAGGTATATACATTCCTTTATCTCGCGCGATGATTTGAAGATGATAGCAAAAGATCTGTTAGTTTATTAGGCTTTAAATAAGTATTCCTTTTCATCCATATTGCTAGGAACTATGGATAATTTCTCTAGAGGATCCTTCACCGTACGTGGCGAGCTTTCGTGCATAAAAAAGAAAATGTCCCAAGGAGCCTCCTTCCGTTTCAAAAAGCTGTAAGTCGGCGTGAATTCCAAGATGAGCTTTTGGTGAGGCAAATCAAAAACTGCTTCGATGATGCGTAGTTGACGAGATCTATATTTGGAGATATATAGGATCAGTTCAGAGATAAGCTAGTGCTAGTAACCGCTATTGAATTTCTATAACACTCACTGGAAACTGTTTCATCCTCGAAACCCGGTTGGTATACACGGTTGTAAAAAAAACTGTCAAAATGCCTTTCATTTTGCGGTTCAACTGGGAATTTTCTGGGGCGTCGCATTCGTGAGATACAATCATTTTTACATGATGAATTTGCATCGCCTCTTCGCGTTCTTCCATTCCTTCATACCCTGGAGTAGTCAAGCATGTTCGCCTATATTTCGGCGTTACAACCCATTTATCACACCAAAGAATGGGTTTGGAGGGCTACTAAATCATCTTAATATCTCATATTGACTAATCGCTTTCGTATGTGCTAACCTCCCACATAAACCATTATGGGACAGGAACATACCTAATTGTACCCCACGGGCCGTGTTCACGAGTAAAGGCGAGGGATCTTGGACGAATCTTATCAGAAAGCCTTTTCTGAATCTTGGCCTTCAGTATACTCAGGAGTTCACGAGAAAATAAGTCAGACGCTTCTTCTGAGTTTGGATCTCCAATATCCCAAGCAACCACTTTGATCGTGGAAGGGTTCATGAGGCCGATAACAACACAATAGTATTAGCCGGTATAGTGGATATCGTATTCGTGAAGTATCAATGGAGGTATACGTTCGAAAGATCAGAATCGTCTTTCTATATATGAATATGACAACTAGCTTACCTATATGCTGAGAATGTTGACGTGTCAGGTTCATAAAAGCCTTGCCTAATATTATTTTGATCGTCTAACATACCAATACCCTCATAGGAATTTATTTCTGACTTTAGAAATTTCAAAAACTTTATTGTTCAAGCCCTAGAATCTACAGACCAATCCTGGACCTTTAACTTACCACATGGGCTTTAAACACAAAATCAATGTCTCAGAAGTGCGGATATTCCACGGATCTTGCCGTCGAACCCCTGGATTCTAAGGCTCGGACTCTGAGATTAGTTAGTTAATATGTAACGTGTGGGGAAGCCCTAGAGAGTTGGCGATTAGGCGGATCTAGGTAGAACAACGAATATTCATATAGCTTGTGTTTCCTCTACTACCTTACCTTCAAAGAGAAGGGATTTCTAACTCTCCTTATTGTATTCGAACTGTCGTGCCATTATTTTGGATTCGGAAAGTCAAGGTGCCCCGAGGCCGGTGGTGAGCTAACGCAGACTTCTTTGTCTGAAGTTTTACTGTATATGGTATTCTCTGTTATTACGGAGGGCCCACTTTATGAATTGTAGCTTCATTTTCGAAGACCTAGCGAGGAAGACTTTTACATGCTTTGCATTAGTGCATGGACAACTATGAAAGAAGGGTCATTGGATTTCCTGCGTTACCTCTGGGCAGTATTGAGATGGGGGAATGGTACATTTAGAGATAGGTATTGTTGGCACTCTTCAGACTTTGTAAATCTGTAAGAGCCTGCAAGAACTCTGGAGATAGTATACAAGAATAGTCGTTTTAGATGTCTTCTCAGACATCTTCTCAGATCTCCTTAGATGTGAGAATCCCAAAGCCGAGTCAGTTCCAAGGAAAATATCATTTTAGATAATTGCGGATTGAGTTTTCCCCGGAAAGTTTCCAGAGTTTGAAATCTTCCAGGCAACTTAATTTCCCCTTTCACCTGATATTCCGTAAATATAATCATCTATTCTCGGTCGAGCAGGCAACCCTATTAATTATTCTGTTGCCTAAATAGGGCTGAGGTTATAGTAACCGAGGCTAATTAGGAACCTGAAAAGAGCCAATCAGCTGTAGTCTCCACTATTTAAGCCTTTGCTACAGTTGCGTGCAAAGCTTGGCTTTGGGCTTTAATATTTCATATTTCATTGGGTTTGATTTTTATATGCTTACTCAAACAGACTCATATTCTATTATCTAGTTCAATTCCTATATAAAATATCTTTCAATGTGAGACAAAAAAGGCAGTAAGGCAGAAATTGGTGTAACTTATATAACTTATATTCTGTGGGGCTGAGGCCAAACTTTGAGAGTCGGAGGCGGTGCCGTGTCTATGGGGGATGCCTACTGTCTACGGGCATGGGGGCCCCGAAGTAGTTGCCCCGTCTTTCTCTTTCCTCACCCTTTGATCTCACACACTACTTGGTGCATGCCACAAAGAACGCGCCTCGCAAGCTTCATTCATTCATTACTTTCTTAAGCATCCTCATCGCACTTTTTATCACTTTCGAATACATTCACTTATCAAACCATGGAGCTTCTTGCACGGCATCCTCACCCAGTTCCCCTAGGTACAAAATCACTAGGACCAATTTCCACTTTGGCACCATTTTCAGCCTTGATCATCTCCATCGTGCTAGTCATAATCTTCCTCGTTCGCTTCTACGTCCTCGAAGGATTTCTTATTCGTCGTTTGTATGGCTCTATCTATACACAGATGAGCGAACTAAATCGCCGAGGTTTCATAAATCATCACATCGCCGGTGTCACCAAGCTCATCATTTTGATTGTTGCCGCATACCCCTTTGTCAGTATCGCTTTCTGCAAAGGCCCGTCATTCAACACACCCTTCGTCCATGGCTCAGTGGTGACATTGGGAGATATTATGATTGTTGTATCCCAAATGTTGATCGGTATATACATTTTTGAGTTGATCTACCGTGTGAAGTTGTCACCCGTGGCCGTGATGCATCATATTGGGACAATCTTCATTGGACAAGCGGCCATAGCGATCAGTCTGCGACCGTTGCGCGAGCCTGATTCATACATCGAGTTCGTCCTCTGTACTGTCTGGGGTAAGTATATGGGGCTGTGATCTAGCGCCAAAACGAAAAACAAAAATACTAATAAAATCGGGGTTAGGTGCATTCGACGCTGTGTTCGAGTTATTCCCCCACGTGGCTATAGTCCTCTACCGGATCTTCCCCAACCGCCACCGGTTTCTCAGCAATGTTTTCCTCTTCTCCTGTTTCTCAACCGCATTGGGGACAGCCGCCGAGACCGTGGTGACAATGTGGCTGTTTGCAAGCACGTGGGACCGGTGGCGGCTGGCCTTCAAGATTGTCACGCCAATCCTGCATGTGGCGTTCTCTACGGCTCAGATCCATGGTAGTCTTGTCTTCTGGCGGATGTACCGCCGACAAAAGCGCTTCCAAATGGAGGCAGACGCCGAAGCGAGAGATATCGATATCAAGGGTGAGAATGAGGGCTCGGTCAATGATCGTCAATCCGAAAGCCGGAGTGGCCAGAGTGTGGAGGGGGAGATCAATTCTAGCTTGGTCACTGTAAAATCGGGGGTCCCGGTTGTTGATGCTGTTGAGAGGTCATCTTAGTGCTTATCCATGGATGTAGGTGTAGATTATCTAAGACAGAGTGCATAATGTGCAAGTATTTCTTTCCGTCTTTTCAAATTCAAAATTCTTTTTGTGTGAATTATCAAACTTGGTCTGAATATTGTGTCAAAGAGCAAGCTACTTGTATACTTCCAATGTTACAAGCTAGATATTGAAGATAAACGCATAAGGGACGTTTCTTCTTGAGGCGGACAAGACTGCTTTTTCTTTTTAGTAGTGTCACCGCTGTTATAACTCTGACGGGGGCGGGAGGGGACATGGCATTCTGATACTTATTTATGCAGCCAAGACCAAACGACCACTGCCAGGACATTCTTCCTAGGCTGTTTGGAAAAGACTCTCCAGTTAAAAGCCTTGGATTTTGCGGCGACAGACATCGAAGCCGATTGGTCATATTATTTCTCCCAACGAATATCCACGGTTGATCTGTTTCATGGGCAATAAGTTCTCTGCTGTGTAAGTCTACAAATTCCTGTCGAATTCCTGCGTATATATCATAGAACACCTGGATATTAGTAACTTCAAGCATCTTATCTTGTACCTGTTCTCATTATCAACATCACCAGTAGCAAACCCACCGATGCCGGCGTGTCCAATTCTGTCATGCTCGTTAGAGTCACATACTAGACCGCTTCTTCAGGGTTTCTCACCCGCAAGTGAACTCTTGGGAAAAGAGTAATGGAAAGAGCTGGGAATAAGTGAGCATGTATCAGCTGAGGCCCAGGTCCTCCTAGATACATGCCTATTTCATTCCATCACGCACATGGCATTACAGGAAGTTTGGCATGCTGCACAAAGCTCATATCCAGCTCAGCCCGGTATTTTTAGGGCAAGGCTGAAAGGCCCTGGAATTTTCAATCCTGGAAGCTTAGCTTTACCTAGACTTTAGGCGTTAGTCTGCGCATCGCTGCCCGTATACAGATTTCCAAGGCTGCGTGCTGGTTGTAGACCATTCATTTCCTCTGTTCCGCAGGAGCTTGTAAGCAATCCTGGGTAAGCTCTTGCTATATCTGTATTTCGGCGGGTCGTTGCCTACAAAGTGTCAATTCTCTGTTCCTGTCGAGTTCCAATACTCGGGTCACTGCCCGCCAAATAGGGACACTGACTTGATGCCGCTGCGCTGCCTGCCAAGGCCGCGACGAATACTCGATTGTGTTCAAAGTGCCGCTTGCTCCAGAATAATTGTCGGCTAGTTCAGTCCAGGCTTCGAGGTATTGTGGCCACCGCCACAATCACCAGTCCAAAAGTGTTACTATGTCAGAAACTCAGCAGAAAACATACAATAGCAGGAAAGGAATCAAGAAAATCTGTGGTAAAAATTAGGTCTGTTAATCACAATTCGCGTCCGATAATAATAGAACGACCAGGCATGACCTCGGGGGTCGCCTATGTGAAACAAGACATTGTCCCCATTCCATTCCCATTTCCTCCTCGATATCGTAAGATCATGAAAATGCATCCATTAGAAGCATGGTACCATTTGTCATCATCAATTCATCTCAATTCATCGTCATTCACTAGCAGCAATGGGAGCATTCGAAGTTTCGAACCACCCCTAGCTGCTCTTCTCGTGCTTCTCATGCTGTTTGGCCATTCGCTGCATGTCAAGACCTATGATCGGTTAGTTTCCCATGCCAAAGATGCGAGTAAGGATTAAGTCTCCGCTAACTTACCGAAGTCTTCCCAGGAGCGCTCTCTGTCTCTCTTACGAGGACCTTTACCGTGCATAAGGTTGTCGAACCGTTGCGAGTTATGCATCACGACGTAAGCCAGTGCGTTCACACATGTCACCCCAAAGGAGAGAATCCACACACGGAGGACAGTCAACCAGGAGGTGGCTTCGCCAAAGGCACCATAAGCAGCCATCAAGGTTGCGGTCAGGTTGACAGAAAGCACCGCAGCGATAAGATAAACCGATGGAAAGTTGGCCCAGAACGACCCAGATTCAGATCCACTGACACGAGTTATCAGAATCAACCAGCTCTGGGTCAGAGCAATCTCAAGGAATAAGACCTCATCTCGTGAGCCCCAGCCTTCGATCACACCTCCATCCTCGCCTTGCAACAGCATGGTGCCCAATGTCACCCAGGTACCGGCTGCAAGAATGAACCCTAGGGCAATTGACTCTCCCCAGAGTCTTGGCTGGTTCCATTTGACGGGGGACTGAGAATACGAAGCATTGTCATAAGCAATGGCCAAGGTCGCAATGTCAGCAAAGATGGCGAGGAGAACAACCAGGCGGAGATCGAGAGTCTCATTCTTGATCACCATCCAGAGTCCGAGGAAGAGTTCCAGGTGGATGGACAGGCTAATTCGGAACACAACGTATGAGTACATGCGGTGGAAAATCCGGCGAGCGATCTTGATCGCCTCGATAATGGCAGACAGGCCAGGTGCCAAGAAGACAATATCAGCAGCAGAGCGGGCCGCATCGGATGCGCCCTCCACCGCAATACCCGTGTTTGCCTTCTTCAGAGAAGGAGCGTCGTTCACACCGTCACCGGTCATTGCCACCAGATAGCCGCGTCGCTGGAGAATCTCTACCACATTGTACTTGTGCTGGGGGTACACTTCTGCAAAGCCGTCAGCGGCCTCGACAAAATCGTTCACCTCCGAGCCAGACATAGAGCCAGCGCCAGTGACACCGAGTCGTTCAGCGTTGTAGATATTGGTGCCGAGACCGAGTCTACGCGCCGTTTCGCGTGCAATGGCTACCGCATCTCCAGTGAGCATCTTGATGGAGAGTCCCAGGTCTTGGGCTTCGGAAATTGTCTTAGCAGTATCGTGGCGTGGGGGATCCAAGCATGGCATGATTCCCAGAATATCCCAGGGACGTCCTTGGCGCTTGCGGGCAACTCCCAGTGCACGGTATCCTCGGCTGGCAAACTCATTGACCTTTGCCTCGAATTCCGCGGTAAACTGCCTGCACAGAGCAGTTTCCTTCGCCACTATTCTCAGAATAGTCAGAGGAGCACCCTTCATACAGGTGACCTTCTCACCATCCAGGGCTTGCACATATGCAGTCACTTTCTTTGACACCGGATCAAACGGAACGAACTCAAGAGTCTTGTACGAAACAATTTGAGATTTGGCCAAGGGATAGTCGCGGAGACCCTTGATGAACACCTTGTCGATAGCATCGATCCCGCCTTTTTTCGAGTGGCCGCAAGGCAGGCAGTCAGCATAAGTTGTTCTGCGTCCATTCCAGGGGCTATGTATGGATCTCCCAATGTCAGTCTGTTACGCGTGAGTGTTCCCGTTTTGTCCGAACAGAGGACCTCCACTCCAGCCAAGGACTCAATGGCCGAGAGGTTTTGCACGATGGCCTGTTGTCTTGCCATATAAGCTGCACCGACAGCCATGGTTGTGGTGACAACAACGGGAAGACCGACGGGGACTCCGACGACGGTGAGTGCAAGTGTGAACTCGAGTATCTGGACAATCGGGTTCGAGCGATAATAACTGCTGATCCAGACAACAAGGAGGGTGAAAAGCACCAGAATCAGAAGAACACGGGCCATTTCGCGCAGGACGCGGGTGAAGTGGCCAGTGGTATTGCCAGCCTTGCTAACCAGGACGGCTGCATTTCCGACAAGGGTATGATCACCAATGGCAGTCACAACCATGACCCCAGTCCCACGTTTGACAGCTGAGGAAGCAAAGACAAGATCCCCTTTATGCTTATCCACGGCGAGAGATTCACCCGTTATTCCAGACTGATCGACCTGAATATAGGCTCCGTCACCTATCAGTCTACCGTCTGCCGCAATGATTGTGCCCTAAAACGAATATTAGGTTCAACGTTTTTCCTCTTTTCCCCCACTCAAATTGCCATGAACTCACATCTTGCAGGTGAATGATATCCCCAATGACGACCTCTTCAGCACTTATCTCCACGATGACACCGTTGCGAACGACCCGAGCTCTCAGGGCAAGAGTTTCCTTGAGGCTGTCGACAATGTTGCCCGCCTGATACTCCTGGGCAAATCCGACCCCGGCGTTCAATAGGAGCAGAGCACAGATTATTCCGAGATCGATCCAATCGTGCAAGCCGGCGGCTAGCAAGATGGCAATCTGGAGTTTTGAGAAAATATTGTCAGCACATGCTTTTTCCAATCAAACTACAGTGGTTAATGGTGAATGAGCGTGCTTACCTCCATGACCCACTGGACCGGGCCATTGAAAAAGGCAATAAAATTCAGGAAGTGGTTTCGTTTCTGTTCCTTCATACGATTCCAGCCATACTTCTTGCGCCGAAGCACCACCTCTGCCTCACTGAGACCCTCGTTGATGTTGGTGTTTACCATATCAGCAGGAATTTGGCAAGTTTCCTCACCCCGGATGGTGATTTCATCCACATCAGGGTGGTTTCCGTCTTCCGCATGCAGATCTTCAATGAGGCAATCCAGAGATTCTTCGGTGTCTTCCTCGGAAGAGGTAATGGGGTTCAGCGTCTCGGGGGGAGAAAGGCTGTCATTTTCTTGAACCCCAAGGACGCAGTCTTTGCTCTCGCTGGCGGTGGAAGCATGCGTTTCGGATCCGGAAGCCACGTTGGGACCGACTTGACAATGGTCCGGGGGGTCAGACGGCGTCTGGCGCGGCCGCGTCGATCTTCCTGGACCTTGGCACCAGCAAGCAGACTGGAACGAAACAGTCTAACTTGGTCTTTCTTTTCGGCCATCAAACTATCACACCGTTCACCTTGGTCTTCCTGGTCACTGGAAGAATCATCCAGGCTGCTCAGGCTTTCACGAAACTTTCGATACGCCTCCTTATCTTTCTCATTCAGGGATCCATCGTGCTGGGAATGACTGTCGTCCCGATGCTCCTCTCCGGGAATGGTGGCTTCGTTCGAGACAAACAGCTGTCTGTCAATCACTTCGGACAGCAAAGTCCGCTCTCTGCTGAAGTCCGAGTCCGAAGTACCCAACGGGCCAGTCGAGGACTTTGGAATGAACTTTTCCAGCTTACTGGTCTGGATTCGAGGCAGCTCCGAATGGTCTCGTCGCTTGAAAGGACTGAGAGATTGGTTACGTTGCTCGCTTTGAGGCACAGCTCCACGTGGCGGATGAACAACGGAATGCAAACGTTCCTCCTCGGTGTTGTCTTGAGTTGGAGGCCTGTCCGGAGGATGACTCCTGAGCGGCGCGTTTCGTGGATCCATCACGTCAGACCTAGGCCTGGCCATGATGGCGAAACGGCTGCAAAAGCTGAAAGAAATCAGCAAACTGTCAAACAACAAGACACAAATTCAATTCACATGTTCATACAAGAGGTTGTGTTGATACATGATTGATCTGATACAACAAAATAGGAAATAAGACAAATGGGAAGGCATAGTGGGCTGATGCTGCCCTTGGGAGAAATACACCAGGCTTTCAACAGATGAAAGAATCACAGCCGGAGAACACACTTACCTGAAAGAATTGATTATGCTCTGGCTTTAAGTGATGTGATGGCTAACGATGATGGGAGAAGAGGAAGTGTTGCGAATGTCGCGCGAGAGTTGCGGGAGCGAGAAAGCGAAACGCCGAGAGTCGAGTATTTATCTCGAAGGAGCGACCCTCGAGAGACTAGGCGCCAACGACATCCCTCATTACAGACGCCTGCCTGCGCTTTGTTCGATATACACCGTCTTTTCTCCTATAGAAAATGAGCTAATACTGTCGACAATGGGCTCGTTCATCTATGGGAATCCACCAAATCTACGGTCATGAGGCTCACGATACCGCTCAAGCACATTGGAGAGGGTATATTGGCGTATCGGAGCCTGAAATATCTTCAGGCTACGGTGCAATATATCTATCGCGGCCTAGAATCCAAAAGTGCCAACAAGAGACTGAGATCAGATCTGGAGGGACTTCCAAGTCCATGCCCAGATGCCCCGCAGGAGTCTCCCGAGGTTTACCCGTGAACGATAAGCTGATACGCAATTATCGACCGTATCGGCTTATCGGAGCCTCCAGGGCTGCGTTGCCCAGTGACAAACGCGTGAAGATTCAACATGAAGAAAAACTTCGATGATGAAGAAGCGACAAAGCATCCGAATGATTCCGTTGCCTATAAAACCGTGGCCTAATATTGCAATTTGGCAATTTGGCAATGGAACTGAGTACAACCTGGGAGTATATTGACTATCTATTTACTTCCCAGTATTCAGTGCAATTGGAAAGCGCGATCGTTCAATTGATTGAATCGATTGACATGTTTGATATTGAATGTACCAAATCACAATCTGGGATAAGTTTTGAGTCGATTTAGTTCAATCAGAGGGTACCATTGATATGAAGGCAAAACCCAATGCATATTCGCGTATAGATGAGTGCGGTTCCTTTAGGGCAGGTATCAAAATTGTGGCCTGAGGCATGAATCTGACCATGGATATTACATAATCTCACGTCACTCCCGAACTTTCAGATTCAATGCGGTGATAACTGTTCAATGTAAATCGATTCGAGATCTCCTGCATCTCATCTTAATTAAATAGAATTGTTTTTGTGCTTGTGCTTATCTCTGTGTTGAGGTCAAATCCACTATGGCTGTTCGTTTGTGCTAGACACTCGAAAGTGGAAGTCTCATGACCGTTTCGATAACTTGAACATAGCTGGATTCTTCTCTCTCTTTGTGCATTCTCCCTGATCCTTACCTTTTCAACATCGCGTGTCATCTACAACTATGGCTCGTGAAATCCCAGGGTTCTATTATGGTAAGTCTTGTTGTGATGCATTTCTTCCCCTCTGCCGAGGTACACGAGAGCAGTACGTAAAGGCGCGTTCTGCTATGTGCCAGTCACACGCACAGGCTGTATCATACTGTCTAGCCCATGGGCTGCTATTGTATCTTTGCAGTGCTCAAATACCTTGCTAGAACACATGGACTTTTGGATCAACTCATATTGACCAAATATCACAGATGAGGAGAAGAAGAAGTACTTCAAGATTCAAGCCAATCATGTCGCATCTCCAAATGCACAATATACACAGCAATCCGTGAAACGAAAGCGGTCTGAGCTGAAAGTCAGTAAAGGGACCTATGTATATCATTACATTGGCTAATCAATCACAGACACGTGAAAACAAGACACGATTCAGACAACGTGAGAATAAAGAGACAATCAGAAAGGCCGCATCGTTGAGGCACCCTTTGGTTAATGTCCAAAGAGAGATTGGAGCCTGTTTATTCTCCTCCAATGCCAGGCAAGAGCAGCAGGCTCGCATTCAAGCCAGCCAACTGCACCGTGGAGAACTCCATCGTTTTGAGCCATGGCCTAACTCGTACAGTATCCGCCATGTCTTGCGCAACCCACGTTCAGGGACATTGATTGCCGGTGAGTTTCATTGGCTTTTATTATCCCAATACGTGTCTAACATGCATGACAAGGCTCGGCTCGCGGATATGAATCGTCTGTTTCGTAAGTTGATGAGCTTGCCGCTGTCAATGGTCGAATTATTACATACTAACCAGAGGATAGGGTCTGCTTTCCTGACATTGACGAGTCACAGTGGAGCTATGACCATACCATGGAACGGGTTCTATTCAGAGAGCCGTACTGGGTGAGCACATTCGTCCCGGTACTTCCTTCCGCTGAAGGCATGTTTAACACACCTTCTAGTTAGGATCGATGTCTTTGAGCTCGTCAGGATACCTACTGTAAGTCTCCATACAAAGCTATTTGATAGACTCACAGCTAACAGCTCCAGTGCAACAATGAACGAAGGGCCGCAAGGTGACTGCTTCCTTTCGGCGCATCTCCTCCCAGAGCCCGACGAGGGCGGCAACTATGTCTGGCCAACCTGTATGATTCCATATTCATCACTATCCCCGGATCGCGCTTACCCAAGACTGTCTAGTCTCTCATCCGATTCGGATCAGACCCCACTACCCGATGTCATTCTGGTGCTCCGCAGCCCAGCCCACATCATCAAGCGCCCACTTCGCCATAGGAACCTCAGAAGGGCTCCATACCCTGGAGGGTTCCAACAGCCATTGGAGCCTATCGAAGAAGCCATTCAAGGGAAATGCGGTTTCCACGAGCAACAGAAGACGCTCGGAGAACAACCAGAGCAAAACTAGCGTGCATGCCGTGGAATGGATGTCACCCGACCTGATTGCAGCAGGACAGAAAAACTCCAAAATATTCCTCCACGACCTACGCAGTGGTGGCAGTGCCACACGCCTCCAACACAACGATGCCGTGATGGACATGAAGAGGATGGATGAACACCGGCTCGTGGCGGCGGGACCTAGCTCGGTATGTAGCGTTGTCTACTCTTCCCTCTTGTCTCCCCTACGTGATATGGCGTTCGGTGTTGGCTAACATTCATCTCAGCTACGAATGTACGACCTCCGCTTCGCGCCAGAGGGGCTTAAACGCCATCAATCCTCGAAGCCATATCTCAGTTTTCACGAATTCTCCTCACTTCCGTTCCCAACCTTCGACCTAAGTACCGAGCTGGGTCTCCTGGCTAGTCGTATGTTTCCCTTAAACATCAAAATAACCAGATTTTCATCTTATCTGGTGCTAACATACACCTCGCTTTAGCCTCCCAGGACTGCAAAATCCAGCTCTACTCTCTTCAGACCGGACTGCAGGTTTCCTCGCCTCTCACGGGGCACCAATATTCCTCGCCACCTAGCTGTGTGCGATTCGAGTATGGGAATGATACCTCGGAGTGGCGGGGGCCGCATGGACCGAGTTTGTTGGTCGGCACGGATGAAGTAGTTGAACAATGGACCTGGTAGGAGTGGGAGGAATTTTAGTGCTGGTGGTTTTTTTTTCATCATTCCATCTTCTCTGGTATGGGGATTCTGCGCATGGTCAAAGGTGTTGGTGATTTTATTTTGACTAGTCTTTATTCTGCGTTGGCGTTCGAACGCAGCGTGCAGATTTATGCTGTATGGTGATTATTTTCTGCATGCAAGCATGCACTATGGTAGGTACACGGGATGGTTAGCGACGTGGAATCTCCAGGATAACTTGCACCTCTACTCCCCTACATACATAGTAGGAATTAGCTATCCTAGGGCTAGCATGATCCTAATAGGCCTTGTATCAACACGCAAGACCACAATCTACGAGATATTCAAGCATTTTACTGCCATACGGATGTAGACAAGCATCAGGTAAAATGACAACATGGGTATAATTGACCTAACACAAGTAAAACCAGTATGCAATGCAGGGCCAACAAGCCAGGAACTCCCGTCGATAAACGCAAAAACAATTTGCCAGTACAAGGACCAAGAAAAATCGAATCAGTCCAGACCACCAGCCAACCACTCACCAACCTCGACACCAATACCCTTGGCCAACTCACCGATCCAGTCACCAGAGACATTGACACACCACTTATCTCCCGCATCAGCAGTGGTATTCCCACTGCTAGTCGCCATAGCGTTGTGGCTAGCAGCGGGGACGACGAGCCGCAGGCGTCGCAGCGTTGCCAGTTCAGCGTAGATACGGTCTGCGACGGCGGCAACTCGAAGTGGAGTTTCTGGGGGGTTCGGGTCAATCGCGTGGTAGATAGCCAGGAGACGTTCTAGGGGGAAGGAACGAGCGGTGAGAATGGTAGATGGGCCGGCGATGCCTGCGCCACCTCCGACGGCTGAAGTGGTGGCCGAGGAGGTCGCGAAGGCGGACGAGAGAGTTGATTTGGTGATACGGGTTTTGGTTCGCTTTCCTTTCTTGTTGGGGGTTGAAGGGTCGTTTGCGGCTTGTCTCTCTTCTGCCTGGGCTTGGGAGAGAACTTTCAAACGCCGGCGGTGGTGAGCACGCTTGTTCCGGGCTGAAAGGGATGATGAGGAGAATTTGGAGAAGAAGATTGTGTCCAGTCGTTGAGGCGTGTGCGAGGCGAGATATGCAGACGTGAGAATCAGAGTCGAGAAGTATGGCAGTGAAGGGAGCGCCGAAGGCATAGCGGTTTTTGCCAGTGGGACCCGCTTCACGCTGGCAGGAGTCTCGTCGGGGACAATGCGGTGCACCAGCGCAGACTCGCCCTGGTGTCGGAAGATCGCTCGGTTTTTGACAAGCAGCCGTGAGAAATCCCACTCGTCGTTTCCGCCTGGGGGCGTCTCGCCATTCACTACAGGCGCAACAAACCGAGGCCACAACCTCTCACATATGGACCTGAAGTCCGGTATGGAACCTGCTGTCGGTCCCACCAATGAGTCGTAGACTGTAGATACAAA